CTGAATCATTGCAAGTTTTGGTACTTATTATATCAACAATAGCACTTTGTGGGCATGTAACCAGGGGCTGCATGCATAAAAATGACTAATTGGAATGTTTTTGCTGTGCCTTCTTAAGCTGATTTCTGATATACTCAAGAAGTACAGCAACATTTCTGAGGACTTTGTACTACCCTTGAGAGATTGGCACAAAACCTGTCTAGATGCACTTATTTAATTGGACCTTTTAGAATTATTTTTCTACCAACCGTCTACTTCAGGTTGCTGATACTGGGTGCTTGCCAGTACACAATTAAAGTTCCATTCCTATACATATTTATGTTGGATTAAGTCCCACTGAATTTATTGGGGCTAACTTTTTGCAGGCACAAAACACGATGGCATTGTAAGTGTGCCTCAGAGCATATCCACATCATTTCAGTTTTGGCAACTGGGTGGGGAAACAGGACAAGAGGGACCAAAGATTTTATATAACCCCTGACAAAATTGTATTGGTTGCCCTTACTGTATTTTAAATACTGTATTTATGGGCTTCCTGAGGCGATGCATAACAAATTAAAACATTTTAAGCAACACATTGATGGAACTTTAAAAAACAAAGTAAAGGTACACTTTAAAAATAATTTAAAGACAAAAATTGGAAACAGCCAGAGCAATTTCAAGGACCAAAGGCCATCAGAAGAGATGGAGCCAGTGTAACTTCTCTTGGTGTGTTGTTAACTGCCCTCAGGTTGACTGCCACTTATGGCAACCCCCTGAATGAGACATTTCCAAGATCCCCTATCCTCTACTAATCTACTCAGGTCTTGCAGACTCAGTCCCATGGCCTCTCTGACTGAGGAGTCTAACCATCTGGCATGCAGTTTTCCCCTCTTTCTGCTGTCTCCCACCTTTCCTAGCATCATTGTCTTTTCCAGTGATTCATGCTTTCTCACGAAGTGGCCAAAATACAACAGCCTTAGTTTAGTCATCTTGACTTTGAGGTAGAGTTTGGGCTTGGTTCTGTTCTAGGACTCCTTTGTTTATCTTTCTGGCTGTCCACAGTATCCTAAGCACTCTTCTCCAGTGTCATACTCAAATGAGTTGATTTTCTAGTAGCTTTCTTCACTATCTAACTCTCACATCCATACATTGTGATAGGAAATACTGTAGCTTGGGTAATCCTAACTTCAGTATTCAGTGTTATGTCTTTGCATTTTAGGATCTTGTCCAGTTCTTTCATACCTGCCCTTCCCATTCCTAGTCTTCTGATGTATTCACTGCAGTCTCCATTCTGATCAGTCTGGGAAATCTATTTGTCACCATCTTCCATGGCCATTTGACATAGTCAAGGAAAGTCCTGTCTCATTTATATACCAACCTAGCCTCATGAGGGGTTGGGCCTCTGAACAGGGCCTTCAATGTGAATCTCAAATTTCAAGCAGGATCACATGGGAGAAGACAACATTTCACATATCCTGCCCCTAAGCTTTTTAGGGCTTTGCAGGCCAAAACCAGCACATTGAATTGAGATTACAAACAGAATTTTTTCAGGGGACAATATATATATATTGGGGGGGGGGTCACATGTTTTATAGCCCTTGGTCATACTGTTTCAGTCAGGGCTACAATATTTAGGGCCTCGGCAGATGGCTAATTGCGCCGTCCTCGAGGCAAGGAAGAGGAGGGGCAGCCGCACGCTTGGCGCCCCTTCCTCCTCCCGAGGTTGCCCTCGGAGCTTCCGGCCCTCTGTATGGCCAGCGCTCCGAGGGCAACCTTCCGCCGCAGCGTCCGCACACGCTGCGGCGGATAAGTCAGGGAAAGTGTGCCCTACGCTTTTAGGGTGCACTTTCACTGACTTCTGAAAGGAGCGCTGATTTTGCGCTCCTTTCAGAGGCACTGATGGTGTGCCGCGGTGCAGATGCCGCGGTCCCGCAGCGCACCCTCCCGCGGCGTCCTGGAAGCTCTCGTCTGCTTCCCCCCTCAGTTAATTAATTTGTTAGATTGACCAGTTAACATTATTTTGGTTGGTTATGTTAAAAACTAATTCGTTGCCATTATATTGCTAGTGTCCCAAAGTAGTATTTTAAGTACCATTTTAATTACAATTTCAAACAGTAACTTCAATGTCTCAAAAGTAATTTACTTTTATTTTAAATATTTTTATCCCACCTTTCTCCCAATAGTGGGCCTCAAGGTGGCTAACAACATACGTAAAACAATAAAAGTTTAAAAAATAACATACAAGAGTCAAAATAAAAATATAAATATAAGATTTAATAACCAATTAAACAATTTATGAGTAAAAATATTAAACTTTTAACAGTGCTAAAATGCATTAAAAACTGTATACAAACACTTAAAACCTTAAAAACAGCAGTGCACCACTTTAAAAGCCCAGACTACGGGGGGAAGCAGATGGGCGGCATGGGGCTGCCCCAGGAAGCTGCGCCGTGGGGCCGAGGTATCCAAACACCTTGGCCCTGCGGCGCAGCTTCACTGCCCCTGGAAGGAGCATTAAAATAGCGCTACTTCCACAAGTCACTGAAGGTGCACCGCAAAAGTCTGCCAGCGCACCTTCGGCGACTCTTCTGCTGCAGCGTGTGTGGACGCTGCAGCAGAGAGGCATCCTTGGAGTGCCAGACGTGCGGAGGGTCCGGCACTCCAACGATGTCTTCGGGAAAGGGTTGGGGTGCCCACTGTGCAGCAGCCCCTCCCCTTCCTTGCCCAAAAATGGCGCTTTGCGCCGTCTGCTCCCCCCAAATCAGTCTGTAAAAGCCTGGTGGCATAAAAATGTTTTGACTTGTCACTGGAAGAAGAGCAGGGATGGGGCCATCCTGGCCTTTCTAGGGAGGCAGTTTCAGAGCCTGAGAGCAGCCACCAAGAAGGCCCTCTCTCTTGTTTTTGTTGTTGTTGTTGTGTGCCTTCAAGTGGTTTCTGACTTATGGCGATCCTAAAGTGAACCTATAATGGGGTTTTCTTAGCAGGATTGGTTCAGAGGAGGTTTGTCATTGCCTTCCCTTGAGGCTGAGAGAGTGCGACTTGCCCAAGATCACCCATTGGGTTTCATGGCTGAGCTTGGAATCAAACCCTGGTCTCCAGAGTTGTAGTCCAGTGCTCAAACCATTATGCCACGTTGGCTCCACAAGAAGATAAGGTTCTTCAGGTAACCTGGACCCAAGCTGTACAGGGCTTTTGTAGGTAACAGAGTTTTTTTATTTTTTTTATTTTTATTTATTAAATATAAAAAGTACAAACAACACAGATATAGAATACTACATATATCACCACATAAGAAACTAAACTAACTAAACACACTTACAATGAAACAAGCAAACAAACAAACAAAACAAACACAAAAGAAACTCTATAACATCC